GGGTTTTTTTTCATTTCTATCAAGACTTCTTGAACCTGTGTGTTTTTCTAACATCATGACATAAAATAGGTAGTCTAGAGAAAAGGAGGGCATTGATGGTTGGTGGAATTCCCCCAAATCCAAATTTTTAGTGTTATTAAACAGTTTGTCTGCTGTGTAATTCAGAAGATTCAATTAGTAGCATCAAGAATATTCTTCAAAACCTATATAAATATAGGCACACTGGTGTGTGTGTGTGTAAAAGATAATTAAACATCATACATATTACAGATGTATTCTATTTATAACTTTTGTACCAAGTTTTATGCAGCTTGATAGAGTGGTTTTAGTCAGTGGTGTGTTTAACGTAGGTGCATTTGGGTCAGTGCACCAGTGGGCCCCCTCATATTTTGGGCTCCCAAAGTAATGCAAAAATTTATAAATTTCTATACCTGTAGCCAATCAGTATGGATGGACTCCTTAAGAAAATTGCACCGAGTAGTTTGAAGTGTTAAAAATACCTCTGGTTTTAGTTTGTGATCTTAAAGTACTGAGTTTGTTTAATTGACATGGCTTAGCTCCACCAGAGTTGAAGGTTAACAATTCAAGGTATTATCTAGAGGGGGTAATTCATTTTCTAAATTGTCATAAAACAAGGAGTGAGTAAATGGATTTGAAACACATAATAAGAACTAAATTTTTATAGTTTAATTTTAACCAAAGTGTTTTAACATTTAAGAATATTAAGTAGTAAGGAAATGTTTTATATATATAGTGATGGTTTATTTTCTGTTGTAACTGTTTATATAGAATGGAAATATATAATTTTCAATTAACCAAAGTGTTTTAACATTTAAGAATATTAAGTAGTAAGGAAATGTTTTATATATATAGTGATGGTTTATTTTCTGTTGTAACTGTTTATGTAGAATGGAAATATATAATTTTCAATTAACCAAAGTGTTTGAACATTTAAGAATATTAAGTAGTAAGGAAATGTTTTATATATAGTGATGGTTTATTTTCTGTTGTAACTGTTTATGTAGAATGGAAATATATAATTTTCAATTAGGTGAAAACATATTCTATAAATATTAACAAACACTTTATAATGACCCTGAATTTTAGAATACACAGAGTGTATTAAGTAATTTAATTTAATAAAAATAAATGAACTGAGGCACAACACAATTGTTATAAATAGGTGATTGATGACACTAAACCCACATTCATGAATTGATTTTTCTGGTAATCTATTAAGATTATTACTTAATGTTCAAATTATTTGCAACAACTTGAAAAAGTCTTAACTTGTTGAAACATTTTAGACACAAGTTGCTTAACTTGTTTAATTTATAATTAACAGAGTAGAAACTCAGTTTAAAAGTTACACTATATATAATCAAGAATGGTTTTTATTTGTAGTACAGTTCGCTACTGTGCTGACAACAGCAAATGGTCTAACGAGTGAGTTATAGTGCATGTGGTTGAGTACTATAACAACCACAGCTAGGTTTTGTGCAGGTCTTCAGCTCACAGTACATTGTATACAGTAGATACTTTGAAGTGTCGATATTGTACTGGTGAATCTTTTTCAATCCGACCTGTGTATTCTTCTGAATAATCACAGTCGTTGTTTCTGCAAGAAAGAAGGCCCGGCATGGCCAGGTGGTTAGGGCGCTCGACTCGCAATCTGAGGGTTACGGGGTTGAATCCCCGTCCCGACAAACACGCTCGCCCTTTCAGCCGTAGGGGGCATTATAAAGTGACGGTCAATCCCACTATTCATTGGTAAAAGAGTAGCCCAAGAGTTGGTGATGACTAGCTGCCTTCCCTCTAGTCTTACACTGCTAAATTAGGGATGGTTAGCGAAGATAGCCTTCGCATAGCTTTGCACGAAATTCATAACAAACATGCAAGAAAGAATAAACATGGGTTGTACAGTTTTACGCACAATACATGAGCTGTAATTTGTTGAGAAGTCCTGTTTCAGAAATTCTGGAGTATCCTGTTGTAATTCTCTGAACTTTGAAAATTCTGTTATTAATTCAAGTTCTACTTGATGAAGAATTTAAACATTGTATAATTATATATATATAAATCTGTGCACATTCTAATGTAATTAGTACTGGCCTTAAATGCCTGTACTGATAAACAGTTGTGCAACATAAACACTGTGTAGGTGGTTGGGAAGAATTAGCTTGTATCTGATTCTTTCTTTTCTAACCTATGTACATTGTATTTGTACAAAGTAAAAATATTAGCAAATTGTCAGCGAGAAGAAATACAATACATTTTTGAAACTTGGTATCCTTCTCCATATAATTAAGTATGGTCATGAGAGATTTTCTCCAACCTTTTAAATTGCTCTGGTTGGCCCTATCTATAAAATATGATACATTTTAAAAATAAAATACTGTTGATTAAGTAAGTACTCAAAGTGGAATTTTCTTAATATAAAGAGGAAAACCATTGTGCATATATTAAGCTGCAAAAGAAATAGGTTTTCCCTCATTGTGCAATGATGCTTAAACATTGAGAAGTCTTGCACAGTTTGTTGCTATGAATTCTTATTGTTAGAAAGTCAATAAATGTATAGAATAAACTTTCATATGGCTTTTACTTTATAGGCATACTAGTTTTTCTATCAGCTTTTTTGTGTTATATTTTACAGAAATTACAAGCTTGTCTGTTCCAGGAGCTTCTCAATGATGTTAATGTATAAATGGTATACAAGAGGAAGAGATTTCTGAGGAAATAGTAATTGTTTGAGGTTGATATAGTAATCTTTGTTTTTATCTTTTCCAGTTGTATAATTTTTCTCTGATTTGAAAATATAAACGTTCTAACTTGCTTCCAGGTTTTTGTGGAATTTAATTCCGTGATAGACTGTCAGAAGGCCCAACAGAATCTTACTGGCAGAAAGTTTGCAGAAAGGGTCGTTGTCACATCCTACTTTGATCCAGACAGGTATCATCGTCGGGAATTTTAAAATTGTGAGGAAAATGCTTTTTCCATATCAAATTCTTAATATCACGATAGTCCACGGTGTGTTTTCCAGTTGTTCTTCAGATTACACCCATTATAGTCCATTTTTATTAAGCAAAATTTTCATAATTTCTGCATTTACATAATTAACTATAAATTTGAAAAGGCAGTGATTGCATGGAATATCAGTACCATATTGTTGTAATTAGTAAGCTAGTATGTAGAGAAATGAAATGCTAACATTTGAAATGAAATGTGTGTGTGTGTGTGTGTATATGTACGTGTGTGTGCATGTGTATAAGAGCTATTAACAGTAACAAGTGGCATGTAAAAATTTGGCTTTTTAGACATTTATTTTTAAGAAGAAATTAAAGTGACTTATAATTCTTAAAGTTTCATCAAGTGTTTTTACCTACCTGTGAGACTAAAATGCACTTTCATCAACAAATACACAAAGACTTCATTTGCTAGGTCTTAGACATTTAACTAAAATTTAAAAGAGTCCATCTTAACCTAACAAAACTGAGTAAAATTCCTAAATTATTACAAGGTCGAAGCTAAGCAAGGTGTATATCATATTTCAGAGTAGCATCATGTGCTGTTCATGTTATGGTCTGCTGGAAATAGCTTATGGGTCCTGCTGTGATTTATTTTCTTGTTGATGCTAAGGATTACTGTTTCATTGGGTACAAAGTACTGCAATAAAACCATAAAAGAAAACGTGTGGAAAGGTTAACAGTTGAAACTGTTAAGATGAGTAATTTGTAACTTTCTTATCAATACTGCAATCAGTTCATAGGAAAAAATGGTATTACTCATTTCTTATTTTTTCAACTGTATATTGATAATTTGTCAACAGACTCGAGACTCAAGCATGCTTATAGTGTTAGGGTAGAAAAAAATTAAGTTTTAAAATTGTACCAAAAAATCGTTTATTAGTTTAGGAGGTCCTGCAAATGAAATATGAAAACTAAGATGAAAAAAAGGTATTTTTAATTCATAGTACGAAAATCACCTTTGACTCAGAATGACTTAGTAAAGGCTTTAGTAGAAACAGTTTATTAAAAAATCTGTACAAAAGACTTTTAATGTTTACTTGCCAAATTTTTTGAAGATATACTTAGTAAATTCAGAGTTCTGGTACATATAGTTTCACAGTTCTAGGAGTCAGTCCTATGGACTTAGCTGCTCATTAAGTGTTAACTTACTATATTTATTTTCATTGTCGAGTCATATTTTCACCAAAAAAAAATGAATTTCAGCCCCCCCCCCTGTATGAACTATGGGGAAAAATGTGAATTATTTAGAAATTCCTTATAATATTAAATTTACCCTCATGTTTGTTTATATTAATTTCTTCTGTAAATAATTTTCTAAAATAGTAACAAGATCAGTTCTGGAACATTTATGCTTGATAGTTTACTTAAGCCTGGGATGGGTGTGGCCTAGTGGTTAGCATGCCAAACAGTAGATCTCAGGGTCTGCATCTCATTATCACATACACAGAAATCATGGTCCACACCTTATGGGTACATTATAAAAGTGACAGTCAAATCCCACTTGTCAGTAAAATAAGTAGTTTAAGAGTTCACAGTGTGTATTGTAAAGTATCTATCTTCCCCACAGTTCTTAGGGACTGCTAAGGCGGATAGCTTTTGTGTGTCACTTAGTATGAATATCTGAAACAATTACTTAGGCCTACAGCAGTGAGAATGTAACAATTTTTGTAGGGACATAAATACTACTGATAGTATTGTACAGATGAAATCTGAATTTTGCACCCTTGTAAAGGAAATATTGAAAACATCTTCAAAGTGTATTATCATGAACATATAAGATTTAGTTTGGTAAGTAATTTATTATGTATGAATAGTTAGATGTGAAGAACTTTTTATTTTCTCTTTCAGTGTTATATAAGTAACATCTTTTGTGTGTATAGTTCAGTTCTTTACGTGGCCTGAAAATGGCTTATTCTATCTGTTATTTTCAGTGATATTTATCTATATTTGATATTCATATCAGAATTTTGGTTGACGCGCTTCATTTTTGCTTTTTTGTTAAACTAGCAAAAAAAAATAAACTGTTTCAAATATTACTAATGTGTGTAAACTGGAAAACAAAATTAGCAGCAGTTGAAACATAAAATTATTTTTAACATGGTATTAAGATAATTCATCAGTTTTTGCAGTGCCCGTAAACTTTAATAAATTAAAAGTTGTCTCATATTTTGGAACAAGCTCTAGCCATGTTACTTTATAAAGATATTAGTAATCATAAACCTTTAAGTATAGAATTTAAATATTTTCAAGGTTGATTAGATTCCAATTGGTCAGTCTGCTGTTTATTATTATCTTTTTATGTGAGTATAGGACAAGATATGAGAAAACACATAATGAGATTGATGAAATATGGTAAATTAATAACAAGCCATGGTAATTTGTTCCACTCAACTCAACACATTAATTTTCATCATATATATAATTATATCTTTTAAAATAGCAACTAATTGATAGATTTTAATAATTTAAATATCCAGAGATTAAATACTTCATGTATTATGTAAAAACAGTAATCTGTGTTTAACTGTTTCTTAAATTTTATGTGAAACCTACTTCAATTTGGAACTTAAAAGAATATACTTTTCGAAAAGGCTCTCCGAAACATCATAATTTTGAGCCGTTATACCCAAAATTCCCAGTCTTTGTTTCATAAATAATTCTGTTTATTCCAGCAATTTTCTTCAGTGTCAGGTTTTGTAGGATCTGTTTATCAGTAAAATGTCTGGTTTGGGCATTGTTTTCATGCTCTAAGTCACATAAGGTTTTTAGATGTTTTGATATTCTTATGTATAAGGGATGGCCTGGTGCATTGTTGTACTTGTTATAAAACATGACATTCTAGCTGATACAGTCTTCATGATGGACAAGGTTTTGGAACATTTGATGGACTTAAGAGCTGAATTTGAAAGTATTTTGTTTTTCAACAATATTATACAAATGATGTTGTATTTGTTGTTTCTTGATGTTATTTTAAAAGTGATGAGTGTGGTTACTGATGTGATGAACATAGTTTCCTTCCTAGCAATGATTTTTTGTTTCAAAATTGTACAGTCCTTATAATATAGGATACAGTGGAGCCATTATTACATTGTATATATATTATGAACCTACAGCAAGCTTTATGATTCTGTGATTGATGTTTTTGAATTAAATTCAAGTTCATGTCATTGGTTGAAGTAATTAATTTTGATCTGAAAGTAGATTTTGAGACCATTCTCCAATTTAAATACCCAGATAAATTTTAAAAGCCTTTAGTTTTTCATTTTAATAGTATGCAGATTTTTGATGAAATATACTAACTGGAAAATACTAATTGATATGCTTACCTCAAAAATCAAAATGTAATTTTTATTTGTGATTATATTAAATATTTATAGAAGATGACTTTGCCTTCTTAAAAAACATACCCCTTCCCTCACTAGCATGTCTGTGGACTTACAGTGCTAAAAATGAGGCTTTGATACCCATGGTGGGCAGAGCACAGATGGTCCTTTGTGGTTAACAAAAAACGAAACTAAACCTTTTACAAATGCACTTTCAGTAAGGGAACACAAATTACATTCATAACGGATTTTTGTTGTAGGTCTTGCAGAGTTAGAGTGGGAATGGTTGCAAATAGAAGCAAAGTATCATATTTAGCATATTGATTTTGGAAATGATATACACAATGTAAAACTTGATCACTTTAAGTAACAGTTATAGTAGAAAAATGTGTACTGAAAAATATGAAAGTATACTACTCGGTAAAGTTTAGATTCCCGGGGTGAAATACATACCGTAAAATATGAATATCACTATAAAAGATTGGGTTTTAGAAGTAAGGTACTTTAAAATGTGAAAATATGCTTTTTAAATGATAAAGTTTCTTCAGTAGTGAAAAAAAATATGCATTTGATTTTAATTTATGACATTTACCACAATTAGTATCATGAAAAATAATCAAAATTATAATTACATTGTTAATGTCATGAATGTAATCAAATAATTGAATTTTGTGTTTGTGATTACTCCAATTGTCCATGTTATCAGAATATTGCCATTATGATTTCTCATTATTTTTTATTAATTCATGATTATTCAGCATAATCAGTTAGTGCCACGACTCATGGAAATAATCAACTAATTGTAATTAGTGTTTCCAATTTTTTCAACTTGCTAAGCCTCTTGAGAATAATCAATTAATGAGCGAGAAGATTAACTGACTAGCAGATTTCAATAATCATCCTGCTCTAGTGAGAATCCATAAATTCCAAAAGTCAATGGCAAAAGCCATCTATTTGCCACAGTTTGTAGTATAGCCTAGAAGGATCTTCATCTGGAAAAGTAACACAAGTCACTTTCACGACATATCCATTCAACCGTTGCATACCTCAAGTGGCTGGAGAATGTAATGGATATTCATGCTATTCCATAAAGAGACATATCAGTCAAGTTGCCTAAGTAGTTCTGGGGGACCACTGTTGAAATGGCCACTGTGAAACCATCTTCGTACACTAGGTGGGTTATGGAAAGTATGCAAGGACTAATGATGTGCTTTGGACACAATAACCTTTTGCAGTAGAAGCTTTGTTACAGGGCTATCATCAAGATGCACAGTCAATGGAGAGAGCGTAGCAACATGAACTACGAATTTGGTGAGGATCTAGAATCATTTTAATTTCAGGAACTCAACTTTTGTATAACATAAAAGTAGAAGTTTAGAGAACTGGATAGAAATATTCCATTTAATAAATCATTGTTCCCAAACAAGTTTATGGCACGAGGAATTCTATCACAACTTCAGAATAGTTGGGAAAGTTTAAAAAGAAATCTTTATTTTTACCTTTACTCGCAAACTCAGAAAATATTCTACCCAATTTAGTATGCAACTGTTATTGCTAATCTCTCATGATTTAGAAGATCAATGTATCTAATCATGAATAAGATGTACTAAAACCTTGACTTAAGCCAGTTTTATTGTTAAGCCTGTCAGTCTAAGAACATTCATATCTTCTCTTATGATGTCTGTGATAATCAAGTTGGTCAGAAGTGGCTTGGCTAATGTGCCCATGTAGTAAGTTCACAAAGTTGAAGAAGTTTGATCCCCCACCCTCCTTGTTCTATCAGTGTGGCTGATCTAATGATAAGCAGCTTAGGACTGAAATTAATCCTCATCAAAGTTAGTTGCAAGTCAAAATTCTTCTTTTGATTTTGTGGAATTCAACTATCAATATTAACTTGTGTCCTCAGTTGTTATAAACTAGGGAAACCAGCCAGAGGTTGGAATCTTAAAAACAGTGTCTTACTGTTGTTTTTGCAAGCCACACTACTGTTAGTAGAAGTGTTACTGATGT